ATGTGTACGGTAACTAGGACCAAATTCTTGGAAGAATGGGCATGTTCGCGTGCCCCATGGCAAGAGTTGTTTAAACTTTTAGTGCTGATGTGTTTTCCTCTAACTTAATGTTCCTAATGTGCCTATAATGTGCTAAAAATTGGTATCTTATGTGCACTAAGTTTACATAAAACTTATTGTATTTAAAAGCTGGTCAATCTTAAAGATTATCTGGATTGATTTTGGTCTGTGTAGGTTCCAGGTTGCTGTTTCTTTGGTAGAAATTAGGAAAATTTAAATAAAGCTTTTCGTGCCATAATTTTTGAGTGTCACGTCTGATTAGCTTCAAGTCTTCCAAGTTAATAACTTGATAATGTGTTCGTGTCACTGAAAAGTTTGGATTAGGTTTGGGTTGTCATTTACTTTTTTTATTTGAGATATTTGATTATTAGTTTCCAAATGGCGATTCAGCACCTCTTCTTCTTATTCCTTTCAACTCTTCAACTCTGATATTTAACTCCATCATCAACTTATGCCGCACTCTGCACTATTCCAGTCGCGTGCATTGAGGCACAAGGGTTATGAAATAGATACCTCACTCGGATCGCATAGCAACCGAAATGCATTTAGCATTTACTGGGGTCCCTATGTAGTTTCCCAGGATGCGAACCACAACAGTTGGCTGATAGGTATCTTATGCTAGGTAACAGAGCAGCACCTGGGCCGGATTCATCCAGTTCATTTGTATCATAAGTGCAAAATATCACTGGGACACGTACAATTCTTGCAGAAATTTCAGAGGCCTTAAAGTGTGCAGGCAGCTTATCTGCACAAAAAGAGGCAATAGAGGGCTGGTAAAAAAAATTACAGACCAATAGTACTGACATCACATGGAAGTCTCTGAAAGGGTGATGAGACGAAAATTACAAACTTTATGGAATATAATGACCAACCCAAAACCAACGTGACTTTAAAATGGGAAGATCGTGTTCATTACATCTACTGGACCATTACGTAATTACGAAGGCATTGGAAGAAAATTAAAATGCCGATTTCGCGAAAGCTTTTGACAAAGCAGTCAGTGATTTCATATAAAATGAGGTCACTTTGTATAATAAAAAAAAAAGTACGCAAATGGATATTCAGTTTTTTGACGAACTGAATGTAGAGGTAATAACAAACAAACCAAAATTAAAATATAGTAAAGTAAAAGTGTTCAAGGAACGGTCCAGGCACCTTTGTTATTCCTCATCACAGGCACCTTTGTTATTCCTCATCACAGGCACCTTTGTTGTTGTTCCTCATCCCAGGCACCTTTGTTGTTGTTCCTCATCCCAGGCACCTTTGTTGTTGTTCCTCATTCTCACTGTGGATAAAGATAAAAGCACAAACCACAGCTCCATGTCATATGCGGATGATACGAAAGTAACCATGAAGGTCACCTCTGTAGACGACACCGAAGAATTATAGAAAGCTACTTAGCAAAGTCTTCCAGTGGACAGTAAACAATGTGGTGTTGAGGGATGACGAGCTGCAGCTGTTCAGACTGGAAATAATAAGGAAGACAAATGAGGACTGTATACAAAATACAGAAGGACCACTGAATAGAACGAAAGGAACATGTGATAGATATGAGTGTAATGATATTAGCTGATCTGTCGTTTAGAGAGCCAATAAAACAGGTGTTGCTGAAGGTAGAAAAATGATGGGATGGGTAATAAAACCTTTCAAAGCAAGAGAAATGTTAATGTGTAACGCATAGGTATCTTTATTAACGAATAGTTTGATCTGAGCTGTAGGCTTCAGCGGTCAATAATAAAAATGAATTAGTCTTGGAGACAGACGAAGTGGAAACGTAGTTTAAGGTAATCATTCGAATCTCATCAAACTATGACCAGAACCCTGGTAAGGAAGGGGAAGGAAGAAGACTAGAGAAGGTGGGAAATGGGTGAAGATGTTGTGGGGAAAGAAAGGAAGAGGAGTAAAAATAAGACATCCAACCACTTTTGTTATTTGGTAATGGCGAATGAGTTATCTGTTTTGTGATAATGAAATTTAAGCAGAGTGCCCACAGCACTTCCAACATTCATATACATGTATCCATGACAGAAGTGCAATTAGTCCTTCAGGACTAAGAATTCGTTAATGAGGATTGATAAGTTACAGGAGGGGCTTGAGGACGTATTAATAGAGTGACGGAACGATGTTTTAGTAGTTGATTGGTCCACCTCCTTCACATTAGACTGTAGATAAGTTCCCATTTGGGAACTATAAAGGACTCAAAATAGGAGCAGTGGTTTAATATTGAAATGAATCAAAAGTCCGATTTAAGGAAAACAGCAATGAAGTTTTTTTTTTTTTTTTTGGGGGGGGGGGACGGGGGTATTTTCCTGCCGCTGAAGATTAGGACCAACAACCTGCCTGCGAAATATCGTAGATATGGTTCTGTATGAGCACGGGAAGTGGTCCAAATTAGAAGTCAGTGATGAGAATCTGCTGTTTATGGCAGCAGTCATAGTCACTGATCTGACTCAGTTTTCTAATGGGTCTTTTTCCACATTTCTGTCCGCTCTTCAAAAAATTTACTGTCTCGGTTTATTTTATACATCGTTTATCGGCATTGTGGTATCTCATAATTAGTTATTTTTTATTAGCCGGTGACCATCTCGTTTGACAAAACCTGACCTAAATAAAGCAAATAGAGAAATTTCTTGAAACCAGTAAATGAGAAATCGACATAGGATTTTCGAGTCTGAACTGGATGCATTATGATGCCGCTAAACATGAAATATTTCACTTACATTCTGAAATGCGGTAGTTTCCTTAAATATTTGGTTATCTTGCCAGTGATGACCCCCTAGCTATAACGAGTCTTGTGTTATAGTTACGAAGATAAATGCATACCGAACGTGAGCAGAAGTTAGCAAGAATAACCTCCAGGTAACCTCCAGGTAACCTGCTACATTACATTTTCATCAGTAACAAAATAAACCCTCATAAACCATGGGTGGGGTTAGAACCCGTGAGCAGAGTCTCAAAACTCCAGACCGACGCGTTCGCCACTGGGCCAGCGGGTTCTTACCCCAACCGTGGTAGGGTTTGCAATCGTGTCATTACGATTTCGTGAGTCATGTTAAACCCTTATTTCTGCTAAACATTTAAGAGTTTCACGCTTACAACGGCAGGGCGCCTCCTGGTGCAATATTCCTCACGAGAAGTATTTTAATTCACAGTAAACTTGTAAAGGATTGAACAATTACGAGAATGCTTTGTAAAATGCAATTATATTGCTGCTGCAATGAGTTTGTGTCTTTCACATAAGTATTACCTGCATCTCGTGTATATTTTACCCTACTGAAGTTTATTAATTTACCGTAAACATGATCAGGTCGCTAAAAGTTAGGTTCACAGCCACACTGAGGTCGACGTCAGGGGGGCCCTGACGGTCACTAGGTCTTATACGCACCTAGTGACCGTCAGTGTCCTCAGCATCCTCAGAAAAAACGCCATTGTTATTATATATAATTATATATTCGTTTTCATCTAATATTAAAAAAGCTGTTGTTTTCGTCAATAGCTAAAATGAAAATATAATGATTTATATTGTCGCATATATTTAACTACGTACGTAGGTAGGATATAACTACACACTGTGCTCGTTAGAAAGGAGTTCTGCTACCCATGTTGCGAACTACCTGCTCACTTGTTTGATTACTGGGCGTGTGGTAAGCAGGTAGAAGTCAGAAGTTATCCGGCCTTGTATCTAGAGGGTCGTCCTCTGGAGTACTTTCACAGCTGCTCGTCGAGGCAACTCTCTGCTCTGCCTGGGAGAGCACTGTTCTCTGCAGCTCGTGTAATCTAAGAACTGTTTCTCACTTGCTGATTATTATTATTACAATCAAGGGGGAAGCGCTAAACCCGGAGGATTATACAGCGCCTGGGGGGGGATGTGGAAGGCATTCAGGCTTAATTCGGGGAACTGGAGCATAGATCCAATTCCCTAAATCAAGAGCCCCTCACCAACATCAAGGAACCTTCCTTGAGGGGTCTCACTTGCTGAGTCCATGCTACCGAGCACGCATGTACACCTATAATAATCTTGTACGTCTGAGTACACTCCATCACAGTCCAGTACCAGTGTACAGTATATTACCAGGGCTGGGTGCACCATTTAAATTTATGTATAGAATAAGTATGTTAAGTATAATGTACAAATATAATCTTCCACCAAAGTTGTGTAGGAGCATATCTCCGTAATTATTAAATTTACATGTAAATGTCTTCACCTAGATACCATTATTAAAGTTCTCAATTTTATTTGGTTTTGTATTTGTCCAGTCACTGTCAGAAAACCAGAAATATTCCAGATGACGGAGGGGAATCACTGACTTAATATTCTTTGAAGATATTTACACTAACAGATTGTTAGGTAAGACACATATGCAACAGTTAGACAACTTTATTCCGAAACGTTTCGCCTACACAGTAGGCTTCTTCAGTCGACTGAAGAAGCCTACTGTGTAGGCGAAACGTTTCGGAATAAAGTTGTCTAACTGTTGCATATGTGTCTTACCTAACAACCTGTCGGTATTGTATACCATTTTGATGTTCACACTAACAGATGTCCCTTTTTGTAACAGCATCTGCGAGACATTTCAAAAGTTAAATGTTTAAACGTTTTCAAAATATTCTTGTTATATATAAGCCTAAAGCGCGTCAAAAAAAATCAGAGCAATTCACCTTGGTGGAAATACTGGCGCTTCTACCTAACATTACAGAATACCTGGAGTTTACCTGGAGGGTTTCCGGGGGTCAACACCCCCTCGCCCCAGTCCTTGACCAGGCCTCGCGGTGGATAAGCGGCTTAATGCCGGCTGCACATAAAATTACGTATGAACCACAGCCCGGCTGGTCAGGTACTGACTTCAGGTGTCTGTCCAAATAACAAGCAGATTAATCACCTCCGTCACTATAACACCAGACTTGAGTCAAACATCCTGGTAGAATAATGATACACCTGAGGCCAAAGTATATTTATAGACGAGCTCTCTAAATACTACAAATGACATTTTCATCAGTAAATTCCCATTATTTAAAATATTCAGAAAATCAAGTCCATGGATCTAAGCAAGATGAATTTCGATTTTAGAATTTTTTTTTTTTACAATAGTTCTGCCTGCCAATACTGAGTCTGATTAGTAAGAAATTCATTTTTGAGTTTACTCTACAGGGGCGATAGGATCCTTTGCAGGAATCTGCTTTGCTTTAGTCAAGTATTATCCTCATATACCACAGATTCAGAATTACTTGTGCCCAATTTTCATGTCACTACATTCATACTTGATTCACAAACTAAGCACTTTCAGTACCTAATTATTTTTCTTGAGTCATCCGTGCAAAATCCTGAGTTACATGGGTTATTTTTTAATTTGTTGTTATTAATACCTGCGTTACCTGTGTTCTGTTTTAATACCTAGGCAGTGTTTTCAGTTAGCTTGGTTCTAAGCAGTGTTCAGGTTTAGTAGAGTTTTGTTTAAGATAAGATCATTTAAGCACTGTTCTGAATTAGCTCTCTTCGTTTGTGTACAGGGTATTAGTTATCCCTTCTTCAGTAGCTTCTTGGGCAGGAACGTTGATCTCGGCGTTGTTTGGGAGGTTCTCCTGGGAAGATTTCCGCCCGTTGAGAATAATGGGGAATCTGCCGCGGTTGTAGTAGCGGGTGATGCCTTCCTGCGACCTCCAGATGTACATACTTAAGGTAGCTAAGAGGAGGATGATCAGTAGCGCCGCCAGCACCCAGGTAGAGACTGTGGTTACCTGCACCGCCAGAGGATGTGATGGAGTGATCACCAGAAAGATCTGTGGAGAGCAGAGTTAGTAACCATAGAGGCGGATATTGTTTGATAATTACTCTAACATCAATAGCTGTAATGTGAAATTTTGAATGATAATAGCAGGAAATAGTCCGAAAAATCTTAAATTATTAGAAGTTTTGATTAAGTGTGATATTCAAATCATTTTTGCCAAAAACTGAATATGGTCAGAAAATGTATCGATCTACTTTCAGAAATCGAAAATATTTTCCTCGTTCCACTTATAAGCTTCTTCAAACACCCAGTGTTACGGAGACGATATATTTTAGGCAGCTTAAAAGAGAGAGATTACACTGGTACACAGAGGAAAATTGAGGGTTAGAGTAACACCCTCATAATGTGGGACAATAGGCCTATGACAACGCTTCGTCTTTTGCTCATTATCAAAGAGAAGATTAATCTGGTTTAAAAAAAAACTTAATATGGATTTATCTGACGTTTTATTACTGGTTGTTCCTGCAACTCTTGCATCAGTTTCTGTTGCAGTCATTGCATCAACGTTACGAGCATGAGCGTGGAAGTACTTACCTGGAGTTTACCTGGAGAGGGTTTTGGGGGTCAACGCCCCCGCGGCTCGGTCTGAGACCAGGCCTCATGGTGGATCAGGGTCTGATCAACCAGGCTGTTACTACTGGCCGCTTGAACATAAAATTTAAACAGTTAATAAAAATCTACACAAGTCACAGAAATTAACACTGGGCCAGAATATACAAATCTGTGTAGCTCATTCTCAGTCAGTCAGATGAGAGAGTGTGTATAGCTCATTCTCAACACTATACTCAGAGGACCAAATATACGGATCTAGGTTTACCTGTTAGAATTTCCTGTCAAAGTGGTTTCTTATTTTTCACCGATCGGTGTTTTATATCATCCTGGTATCAGGAAGTGTGATGAGTTATGTTGCAGACCTTGTAGCTCTGGTCCATGCTAGATGGGGCATGCTAGCTCGTTCTAGAAAGTTGCCAGTGTGGTGGTGGTGGGTTACCTGTGGGTTGTGGTGGTGGTAGTGGGTTACCTGTGGGTTGTGGTGGTGGTAGTGGGTTACCTGTGGGTTGTGGTGATGGTAGTGAGTTACCTGTGGGTTGCCGCAGGAGGTGTGGAAGGGGGTTGAAGACTCGTTAAGGGCCACCTGGTGTGGAGTGTCAACACGGACAGTGTTCCTCTCCAGAGTGGTCCGGTTATGACACATCAGTCCTTCAAGAGCGTCAGGCGCCCACGAGGCGATCACATTCTCATCAAACTTCACCTCACCCGTCACATCCACCTGTTGGCATACACACAGGTGGTAATCACATTAAACGTGAAGTATGTGGTCAATCTTACGGTCACATTCTCGACCACTTTCCTTTATTGTCTACTTCGGCTATCACACTGTAATTCTCTATATCACTGTGATATATGCCGATATCTTCACAATAAAAAATAAGATACCAAACATACTAGTAAATATCCCAAGTTTGTTTGCAACAGATAAGACGTAAAGTGTATCACGAAGTACCTCTGCTGACTTTTTTGGGGGGGCCTAGTTTCTAGACCTTTTGTTTATCCATAGAGAGGACATAAATATTCCTCTTTAAATGTTAAAAAACTCCTATTGTGACTGTTATAACGACCCTCAACTATGCAATTTAATTCTTGTAGCTAGGACTAGCAAAATATATCATGCTCGTAGAACCCCAGGTTTTCCTAACAAATACAAGGAACAGAAAATATGAACTTAGGCAAGAGGAATGGGAATAATTAAAGGGATGAACGGATCTAGTACCTCTCTAACTTGGGAAGGTGTTAATAAATTAGACAAAAAAGTGATTGTTATTCAGCCTTACCCTCTTGAAAAAACTAATCTTCTCAAAAATAACTGGGCCAAAACACCCAGGCATGAAAATCTTCATATGAGAAGCCTAGAAAGTATCCCTGGAGAAAATGGTATAACTTACTACATCGTCAGAACTTGTAGGCAAGTTCCTCGTAACTCAACCTATCTGCATCTGAGATTCAGAAATTAAAGCAGACGACATATCCCACTTATACGTTCGTAAGGAAACTCATCAGCTATGTTCAATTTTACGGATATCCTGGTGTAGACATACCATTTGGTAAATACGCCATACCGTAACTAAAACTAAATAAATGCAAAGATAAACTAATTGTTCTCTGAGCTGCTGCTAGTTATAACCCCAGTTATGGTGGTAATGTAAGAATAGTGAGAATGATGTACAAAGCCTAGATTAGATGTTTAATTCGGCAATACCTATGTTATCTAGAGAAAAAATCTCCGGTCTTTGTGGCTAATGCAAGACGAAGCCCTCAGAATTATTCTTAGTTGTCCTAAAGCACCAAGATCTTTAACATTGTAATTGGTATCTTAATATGTTGAACTGTAGCACTGTCACCATTACTGTCTAAATATTTAAAAGTAAATAAACAAATCTCAACGGATTGTGAAAACATACATCGTGTAACCTGCATGATATAGATCGTTGTAGACTACATAAGCTATCCATCCTTCCCTCGCAGCTCTCTCCACTTAATATTATATGTTGTAAAGCTCTTCCCAAGAATTTTAGTCTCGCAGAACTCTTAGCGAACCAACAAGAATTATATACACTGATTTAAACAAGAGTCTACTAGCAGGGCTGCATCTGCTCTTGTTGCCACCTCCCTACATAAATTTTTATCAACCATATTGATTTAGTCATAAGAATTAACATGTGGGTTTCCATGTTATAAACTTTTTTTACCATCCTAATGACACGAAAGTTAACTTGAGACAATAAAGTTGACTCCTTGATTTTATAATGACTCTCAATAATATGCTTATTGGAGAAACTAATTATTCAGTAGATATTAAAATATCGGAGAGAAATTAATGTACAATTCTCATGGATTCCATCACACATTAAATTACCCTACATCACAAAGCTGATAAATTAGCGAAAGTACCTTGGTATGCCCTGTGTCTAGCATTAAAAATAACACCAAGAAGTAAATAATAAGTCTGAAAGTCATGGGAATACAATTAGAAGCCTTACTAATCTATAAGTTACTATGAAAATATGAACGTGGATAAGCACCTTCACGGAGTAACTTGCAGTGTAAACTGATGACGTAGCAGCCAGGCTTATGGTTGGTAATAAGTAGACGGGTAAGCGAATACATAGACGATCAAATTAAATGCAAAGTATATGGTCAGCCTTAAGGTCACTTTCTTAATCACTGTGATTAATTGTCCACTTATTCAGTAATACTAAAATAGTACAGTACCCTATGTCGAGGTATCTTATTAACGTAAATAAGACATTTTAAGGAAATATTCTAAATTTGCTTATTAAAAATGAAATATAAACTAAATATGTATATTGACCTTGAGGCCTGGTTCCTAAGTCATTTGTATGCCATAAATAATCTTACCCTTCCGCTGAAGTGATGGATATCTGGTGCGTAATAAGGTAATCACGACTCACGAAATCGTAATGACACGATTGTAAACAAACCATACCACGGGTGGGGTTTGATCTCGCGGTCTGGAGTTTTGAGACTCTGACCGCGAGATCAAACCCCATCCGTGGTATGGTTTGTAAGCTAATCACGTCTGAGGTGAAATCTAAAGAGCTGTTCAACAATGAGATACCATAAATTAATGTGATACCAGAGACTGTAAAAAAAAAAAAAAAAAAGCCAGGCACCTCACGTGGAAGCGTAATTTCAAATACTTTTTTTAGGACGACATTTCGCCTTTGTCGGTGAAACGTTGTGTACCAGTGATTTCCATGCTAAAAGTGTCTTTGAAATTGCCCCTGACCGTCTTGCATAACTGTCTACTCGCCTGGAAAGCCGCCTTCTCTAGTCTTTGGAAGTAGTTGCCCTTGATGGTGACGGATATGTCACCTGCCGCGATGAGTGCCCCAGTCTCCACCGTCCCCAGGTAGCTGTTGGTCACCTCTGCTGTCTCCATGTCAGACTGACGCAAGATGGTTAAGAAATTAAGTTGATTCATACAAATAAAATACATACTGAAAAGGCTCCAGTAATGCAAGTCACTGGTTATGCAGTACAAGAATTTCTTTGCCTCTGAGGGAGAGAATGGGTGACAATGGTTTCCTGACGAGTGACAGAGTTTACAATAGAAATAGGATAGATAACATTGGGTACCTGATGGGTGAGACAACAGGTATGTGACGGATACCTGATGAGTGAGGTTGAAGGCCCCTTCTCCCACTCTGTGGATGGTGACGTTGGAGAGAATTAGACCAGTCCAGCTGTGAACCTCTCGTCTGCTGAGCGTGACGAAGCCTTCAGTTGCCACTGATCCGTCCACGGCCTCCACCACAGTGTCCTCCAGTACTAGGTATCTCATCTGTTAATATGAACACCTGTTTAGTGCCTGTTACCAACTCACCACCGAGTACCCAAAAACAGGCACCCCATCTATTGATATGAGGTCCTGTTTAGTGCCTGACACCAATTCATTGCTGCGTTCTATGATTCCAGGACATCTGTAGTGTCGGCTACCTTTTCCCAATGTTACTTTCGAGAAATAAATATCTTTATCAAGTTGGTAGGTAAGACACATAGGCAACAGTTAGGCAACTTCATTCCGAAACGTTTCGCCTACACAGTAGGCTTCTTCAGTCGAATACAGAAAGTAGGCAGGAACATTAGAGATGTGAAGACGATGTAATCAGTCCACCCTTAAAGTCGTAGATTTGAGGTTGTCAGTCCCTCAGCCTGGAGAAGTTCAGTTCCATAGTCAGGAACTATCTGAAGATCAATCAATCAATCAAGGACTCACAGGTAAGGACCCACGAGGGGCGAGGGGCAAGTGGGGACAGTGCGAAGAATAGACGGTGAGAGGAATGTCTTGAGTCGAAGAGAGAAGAGTCAGGGCTAGACCCAACTCCTAAGCCTGGATAAACAATAACGAAGACGACATAGAAGACAGCAGGAACTCTGCGGGTGCTGACTGCAGCTCGCTGGATGGAAGATTGCTGCATCTTGATGTTGTATGTAAAGTAAAAGGACACAAGTGCAACTAATGTGACATTTATTGTGGCAACGTTTCGCTCTCCAGGAGCTTTATCAAGCCATTACAAACAATACATGGACACAGAAGGTATATAAAGGCTCAGAGTGAGGTGAATACTAGTGAGGTACCATTTCGATGTTCACTAGTGGTAGTAGTAGTAGTAGTAGTGGTAGTGACAAAATTAATACAATATGGTAGAGCAATTAATTCGTACATGAGTAAAAGGATATAAAAGCTATTACTTGGGTAACATAAAAATAAGTTGGACAAATATAAATTGGAATGACGCAGCTTGTTTCAGTGTTCACTCTCTGTGCTTTGTGTAGTATAACAGGAGAGACTATGTGATGGCAGGGTTTACTGTTTTCAGGAGGATTCTTGCTAAGACTTCGGAGATGGTGAAGCTGCCGTTGTTTTGTTTAATTGTATTCGAAACAGCGATCAGTGCTGATTCAAGGCACTTGCGTGTGCGGAAATTATTTTCTTTTATCACTAATTGGGCGTCTCTGAATTTCATAAGATGATTGGTGGAATTTCGGTGTTGTACACAGGCGTTGTTTAAGTTGTCGTTCCTACATGCGTATATGTGTTCATTGAGGCGGGTGTCGAGGTTTCTTGCTGTTTCACCTACGTAGATCTTGTCACAGCCTCCACAGGGTATAGTGTAAACTCCTGCATTGACTGGTTCGTGGTGCTTGGGTTTTGTCCTGGTTAGATCCTTTATTGAAGTGGTAGAAGCGATGGCGACTCTGGTGTTAGCTTGTGAAAGTACTTTTGAGACGTTTAGTGCAACCTGGCTGTTGGGAAGAATTATAACTTTGTTGGGAGCGGTGTTGATGCGTGGAGAATTGATGATCTGAAGAGCTCTTTTCTTGCAGTCTTTGATGAAAAAAGAAGGAAATTGTAACTCAGTGAATGTTTGGTGAATGTAAGTACATTCCTCGTCAAGAAACTCAGGACTACAAATTCGGTATGCTCTTAGGAAAAACCCGATGATGATGCCTCTTTTGGTCTTGGTATCTTGACTGGAATAGAAGTGTTTGAGATCATTTTTATTGGTGGGTTTCCGATAAACTTGAAATCTTAGGTTGTTGTCTACTTTGTGAATGAGGAAAGTAGACAACAACCTAAGATTTCAAGTTTATCGGAAACCCACCAATAAAAATGATCTCACACACTTCTATTCCAGTCAAGATACCAAGACCAAAAGAGGCATCATCATCGGGTTTTTCCTAAGAGCATACGAATTTGTAGTCCTGAGTTTCTTGACGAGGAATGTACTTACATTCACCAAACATTCACTGAGTTACAATTTCCTTCTTTTTTCATCAAAGACTGCAAGAAAAGAGCTCTTCAGATCATCAATTCTCCACGCATCAACACCGCTCCCAACAAAGTTATAATTCTTCCCAACAGCCAGGTTGCACTAAACGTCTCAAAAGTACTTTCACAAGCTAACACCAGAGTCGCCATCGCTTCTACCACTTCAATAAAGGATCTAACCAGGACAAAACCCAAGCACCACGAACCAGTCAATGCAGGAGTTTACACTATACCCTGTGGAGGCTGTGACAAGATCTACGTAGGTGAAACAGCAAGAAACCTCGACACCCGCCTCAATGAACACATATACGCATGTAGGAACGACAACTTAAACAACGCCTGTGTACAACACCGAAATTCCACCAATCATCTTATGAAATTCAGAGACGCCCAATTAGTGATAAAAGAAAATAATTTCCGCACACGCAAGTGCCTTGAATCAGCACTGATCGCTGTTTCGAATACAATTAAACAAAACAACGGCAGCTTCACCATCTCCGAAGTCTTAGCAAGAATCCTCCTGAAAACAGTAAACCCTGCCATCACATAGTCTCTCCTGTTATACTACACAAAGCACAGAGAGTGAACACTGAAACAAGCTGCGTCATTCCAATTTATATTTGTCCAACTTATTTTTATGTTACCCAAGTAATAGCTTTTATATCCTTTTACTCATGTACGAATTAATTGCTCTACCATATTGTATTACTTTTGTCACTACCACTACTACTACTACTACTACCACTAGTGAACATCGAAATGGTACCTCACTAGTATTCACCTCACTCTGAGCCTTTATATACCTTCTGTGTCCATGTATTGTTTGTAATGGCTTGATAAAGCTCCTGGAGAGCGAAACGTTGCCACAATAAATGTCACATTAGTTGCACTTGTGTCCTTTTACTTTACATATTGTCGGTAATTCTACCAACTTTATTACAATCTTGATGTTGATTGGCGGCTGGCAGAAGCTGGAGGCGTGGTCAAGGGAGGCTAGCTTCTTGATTGGTCAGGTGTCGTTAAATTGTGAGTCAGGAGTTACTCCATTTCTTCAGTGTTGGAGGCATTCCTTATGTTGTGCAGTTGGAAGGAAACGATGAGTAATCTTGTAATCTTAGGTCGAAATGCTGGGTCGGCTTGTAACTGGTCAAGGGTCATCTTGAGTGTAGTGAAGGAGCAGTGGGATCCTTTACGATTTGTAAACTTGACTGTTCTGTCGTGTATTTTCTCGTACAAAGTGTCGACATTCATGGTGGGTTCTTGGTCAGGAGTCGTATAAAAAGTTATATCTTTCCAGTGCAGGTATTGATCTCGATGTTGGTCTTCTGTATTAATACGTCGAGTGATGGCTGGAGAGGTTTTTGTTGGTGGTTGCAGCATTGAAGGTTCTTTCAATGTTGGTGTCTCTGCTAGAGAGTGTGTAGAAGACTGTGGTAGAATCGTGGCTTCTGATTGGTCCATATGAGTAGTGGTGAGTGGAGGTGAAGGAGGTACGCTGCCACGACGAGATAATCGACGAGTAGGAGGCGATCGACGAATAGGAGGCGTAGTGCTGACTTGGATGTTAGCAGGTGAACGTTCATTGGAGGATTCAAAAAAGATGCATCGTCATTGTCAATTATTAATTCCTTCAAGTCATCTGGCGCTTCAAAACTGACGATCTTCGGGATTATTTTCAAAATTTCAGCTGATGGTGGACTTGCAGGGAAGTTAAATGATGGCATGTTGTTGAGTGCAAGAAGTTCATTGATAGTCGTGTTGAAAGAGCCAGGTTTTGCAGCATTTTGCATGTGGGCAAACATCATGCAGTAATAGAATTTGGTGGAAATATCATCAGGTGGAGGTTGGGTAGTGAGAGGTAGTGGAGACGACTGTTGAGTAGCTTGTAGAATCTTGGATGTTGTAGATTGAATCTTGGCAATTGCAGCGTATGTAGGAGAGGTTCCAGATGACCTCTTTGTTTCTTCCTTCAGTTTTTTAGAAAGGATATCCTTTCGCACTGGACACTTGGCTGCAAGAGTATGGTGATCACTCTTACAGTTGATGCAAGTGGGAGCAGCAGTGGAAGTGCAAGAACGAAAATCGTGTCCTGCAGACCCACAGGTGGAACATATCTTCTTATTCTTCACGTGGCAGTCGGCAGTAGAGTGACTGTACGAGTAACATGTCCAGCAAGGTGTTATGTACGTGAAGCGTTCAGGTTCAATCTGTCGAGGGTTGATATAGTAGTAAGAGATGGCCAGGCCATCAGACAGTGCTCTGGTCGCCATGGTAACGTCCAGGAATGTGACCTTGAGCATTGAGGAAGCGTTTGGAATCTTCACTACAGTGTCAATCTTGGCCCAGGTGTTGAGGTCTTCAAGTGATGTAGTAATTTCCTGGATGGTCATGTTCGTGATCAGCTTGTCAAGACGTTTCATAAACACTGAACGTTTTGCAAGCATGTATGGTGACGTAGAGATGGTAAGGCCTCGGTCTTCTAAGGTCTTCATGGCAGTAGGTGTAAGCACCTTGTCAGCTTCAGTATCATCGAGAAAAGTGACGATGAAAGCTTCCTTCAGTGACGTGATCTTGGAGAACTTTGCGTGCAGACAAGTGTTGAGAGAAGCTGCAAGCTCAAGCTTCGTGGCGTCGTCGACGACAGCAGACTTGGGCTTAATTCTCACACGATGAGACATCGTGGAGATGGTAGAGGTTCCCCTCTCCAACGGGGATCGTAGGGATATTGTGCAAGTAAGGAGAGCTGCTATGACCTGCCAGGGCGAGAGTCAACAGCAGATCAAGCGACAGTGCGGAGACTGTCGGAAGGAGAGGTGCAGAGTAGTAGTAGTAGTAGTGAGAAAGCAGCCACTGAGAGGACACGTCCCTCTCAGATCAAACATTTCTCACTTGAAAAAGTTGTCCAAGGTGTTTTCTGTTTTCACTACTACTACTACTACTCTGCACCTCTCCTTCCAACAGTATTTAAGTCTCCGCACTGTCGCTTGATCTTCAGATAGTTCCTGACGATGGAACTGAACTTCTCCAGGCTGAGGGACTAACAACCTCAAATCTACGACTTTAAGGGTGATGGACTGATTACATCGTCTTCACATCTCTAATGTTCCTGCCTACTTTCTGTATTCGACTGAAGAAGCCTACTGTGCAGGCGAAACGTTTCGGAATAAAGTTGCCTAACTGTTGCCTATGTGTCTTACCTACCAACCTGTCGGTATTGTATACCATTTTGATATTTATCTTTATCAAGTGTTATTAACTGCGCTGATCAGAAGATTTTGCAGTTATGCAGGAAGTTTGTAATTAGAACAGTTTGCCCACTTAATGTTATGTTTTTTTTTTTTTGAAATGCTTGAAAAGTGCCGAACACTCTTGTTCTAACAAACATCTTTTGTTCAGTTATAGTGATTATATTTATACTAGTTTGTCCTGTGTTTGGCTGTAGTCTTTACGAGGAATTTCATAAACATTGGATTCATCCAGGGTGACTAGCTTCGTGAATATTGAAAAAGTGAAAACATAATTACTTATAATAAAGTACACTTATGTAGCGAGTATATATGGCATTTTCCATGTTTTTTACGTCTTTCGTGGTAAGGAATAAACAATTTCTTATTCCCTTATAACGCTTTTATTTTTCATGTTATCCCTGTATCAATTATTATTGACTCTTTCTTCTCCTCTTTGTATTTACCGTTCAAGATAGAAGTGTGTTATGATTATGCAGTGTTGGAGCTACGGGTGTTGGACGTAACAAACACCTGCTGACTGAGCTGTCGAATGACTGAATAATCATTTTACTTATGTTACGAGTCCCTTTTTGCGCCATCTTCCGAGACTATAATGCACCAGTTGGTAGGGAGATCATGAAGTTGAAGTCGAATACCTGGATTGGCCCCCCACAATCGCCGGATCTAAATATTGTAGAACATCTGTGGGGTCAATTGGAACAGGAAGTCGAGAACAGATTTCCTTCACCGTCGTCTTTTGGAAGAATTAGATCAGTGTTTTGCTTGAGGAATGGCTCAAAATTCCCCTGGATGTTGCTTAAATGCTATATGAATCAATTCCTCGACGAATTCCTGCTGTTTTAGCTACAAATGGAGGATCAACTCCATATTAAAAATATAAAATGCTATAGAACAAGACGTTTATATTCTGTCCAACCCTGTATTTTCAAGTTAAACGTAACTGAATTGTATATTCTGACTGCTTCCATAAGTCGTTTCGACACTACACTTCTTATTGTAAAAATGGTAACAATGTGTGTGTAAATAGTTGGTGAATGTGAAAGTCGACGTGAATTCTAATGATTAGATTCCTCTGATTTATAAATGTATCCAGAAAAGAAAAACCCGTCTTTCTCCCGCTGTTTATGCTGGGAACCAGATTATTTTAGTTTTCCCAAGAAAGTATCAAATGGTCTATCTTCTTTTTATGCTGTAAAACTCGCATCCACATAACTCCTCAGTCTAGTCCTAAGACTTAGATCCATAATAAGGAAAGCCTGATCGACACCATGCCTAACCCTTCTAGGGTAGGGTAGGTGCCTGAGCCCGAGCCTTTAGCTCATAAGACTGTCATTCCCATTAGCCCCCTTGGGGCGGGGATGGCAGACCAGAGAGGCCTAGCTTGTGGCTAGGTCTGGGGACAGTTGGTCCCAAAGATGAGGAGGTACTTGTGCCTCCTCCCATGGGAGACTTAGGTCTCAGACACTCCCTAAAGAGGGAGCCAAGGCCGGGCCACCACTTGGACAAGGCCCGGGCCGGGAGAATACCGGCGAATAAAAAAAAATCTATTACTTTGAAAGTATTCCGAGTGAAGACTGGAAAAAATTGTTAGTTGCTCATAGAATAACCATTTTTTATAGTAAAATATTCATCTTTGGAAGAAACACGTTGATACAAATACATAATACAACAGTACGAACACACAATACTCTAAGAACGCGTGTCAAACCGGATGAGTTTATTTTGGGGAGTTGACGTGTTGGTGTGAGCAAGGTAATACTTATCTAAGAATTAGGTAAATCAGCAAACCGCGTTTCAGTTCTAGAGGTGGAAAGTATAGTGACTGTACTCTGAAAAGGTACCTGGGTGTTAGTCGATTAGTGTGGGTCGCATCCTGGGGACAAAACCTAATCTGCCTGAAATCCTCTGCATAACAAGGGTTTTTTTCTGTGTAATATGTCATTGATGTCCGCTAGGTGTGTACACCTTGAACATATACTTGTAAAAATAGATTATTATTATTATTATTATCATTATTATTATTATTATTATTATCATTATTATTATTTATTATTATTTATTATTATTTATTATTATTATTAAGGATGGGTGGAGGTAGGTAGAGGATGTGGGTGTGTTTGTGGGGAGGATGGATAGGATGGTAATTTACCCTGGTGTTCCACATCTGACCTGCAAGGTGACGGCCTGACCAACCTTGTGATTTGCTAATTATGGTATTCCTCGAGCTTTTTTCCTTTCATAACTTGTGATACACCCACCCTGCGACCCAACAACCCACCTGCGACCCACCCTGGCTCACCCACCCTGCGACCCACCCACCTGCTTCATGTTATGCAAGACGCCCTTACGGAAGGAACCCACTGTGCTGGTCTTGATCCTGAACCCACCTCGAGTTCGGTCTCTCAGAAACATGGTGGGCACTTCAGGCACGTTGCAGCTCACGATACCCACACCTGAAATACCGTAAATTAAGTTAGTATAGGTAGATGGAACAATGAACAGATTTAAAACACAGCCGAGCCCTGAATTGGGCGACACAGTCGTTTATCAGTGTTTCTACTGTATTGCACATTGCTTTGACAAAATTCAATAAGCACTACATAACCAAGGTTTGTTGCAGTTGTCTACCCAACCTCTCTCGGTTTTTTTTTTTTGCAATAACTACATAACTACCCAAGAACTTAGTGGCAGAAATTCAACAGCTGCGTAGTTGACGCCAGTCAGTTCTGAAGGTACAGATTTTTTGCTATTTGGCTATGTGCGTTTATTTGCATCCTTGTATCTACTGCACGTTATATATTTATATATATTATTATATGCGCATTCCAGTATAGGCGCTCCCTGTGATCATATTTTCTTGGACCACCATCACTTTTTCTACAACAATAAGAATATAAGTAAGAAACACTGCAGCAGGCCTACTGGCCCATGCGAGGCACGTCCAAGTCTCCTACCGGCTTAAACCAATGATCCAACCTTGTCAGGTCAGGTCATATTCACTTAAGGAAGGAGAACGGCATCAGACCTAATAGCACAAGCTAGTCAGGTCCAACTCGCACCCACCCGCACCCACTTATGCATTAATCTAACCTATTTTTAAAACTACACAACGTCTTAGCTTCTATAACTGTACTCGGGAGTTTGTTCCACTCATCCACAACTCTATTACCAAACCAGTGCTTTCCTATATCCTTCCTGAATCTGATTTTTTCCAACTTAAAACCATTGCTGCGAGTCCTGTCTAGGCTAGATATTTTCAGCACGCTGTTTACATCCTTTTATTCCTGTTTCCCATTTATACACCTCAATCATTTCTCCCTAATTCTACGCCTTTCTAGAGAGTGCAGATTCAGGGCCTCAGTCTATCCTCATCGGGAAGATTTCTGATACATGGGATCAACTTTGTCATCCTCCTTTGTATGTTTTCCAGAGCATTTATATCCATTCTGTAATACGGTGACCAGAACTGTGCAGCATAATCTAAATGAGGCCTAATCAAAGATATATAGAGTTGAAGAACAACCTGAGGACTCCTATTATTTATGTTTCTTGATATGAAGCCAAGGATTCTGTTAGCTTTATTGCAAACATTTATGCACTGTTGTCTTGGTTTCAGATTACTGCTAACCAGGACTCCTAAATATTTTTCGCAATCCGTAATGTTAAGATCGACATTATTTAGTTTATATGTGGCATGGCTATTTTCCTGTCCAACATTTAGAACTTTGCATTTGTCTATATTAAACTGCATCTGCCACTTCTCCGACCACTGCATCAGTCTATTCAAATCTTCCTGGAGTGCTCTAATGTCCTCGTCAGAATGAATTCGACGGCCTATTTTGGTGACATCAGCAAACTTGCTTATGTCGCCATTCATTCCCTCATCTATGTCGTTTGTGTAGATTGTGAACAACAGGGGGCTCAACACTGACCCCTGTGGAACACCGCTCGTGACGCTTCCCCATTCTGATTTCTCCCCATTTATGCAAACTCTCTGCTGCCTATCCGTCAACCACGCCTCTAGCCAGGAAAAACTTTCTCCTATTCCGTGTGCCTTAATTTTTCTCAGTAGTCGCTGATGTGGGACTGTCAAAAACCTCACTGAAGTCCATATACACAATATCATATTCATTACCATGATCATCTTCCTCTAATATCAGTGAAAAAAATTAACAAGTTCGTAAGGCAGGAACGCCTTACGTGCCGAATAGGTAAAACCTGCAATTTTAGCTTAAATAGCAACGGTCTTTCTGTATAAGGCAAGCGAAAATTTGTGTGTGCAATAATTTCGCAAAAATCATTCTGAACCTAACGAAAAAAATATATGTATTTCATTGTATTTGGAAATTAAATTATTGTAAACTTATCTAAAATATATTTAGTTGGATTAGGCTAAATTAAATTGCGCTTATTATAATAAGGTTAGGAAAGTTTTCTAGGGTTCTTTTGGTACAAAATTATTAATTTTTACATTAGCATTAATGAAAAATATCTTTAAACGTATAAGAGAAAATTTTAGAAAGGACTTAATTTTAAACGAGTTCTTGCTAATTGACCAATTTTACCTATTCGGCACGATATATATACACACGCACGCACGCGTTTTCTCACCAGCGAAGGTTCTATAGGATGCGTGTTTATCGTAGCTGTCAAGAGGCGGCATCGACTCCAGAGTGAGGTTACCACCTCTCCAGATATCCAGGGCTGCTGAGGGCGCCTGCATCCACTCCTGCAGGAACTCTTTCGTCACATGAACGCTGGTGGCGTTCACCATCCTGACGTAGGCGCTCACCAAGCTGGAGTTGCGGAAGTTGAAGAGTTCCTTGTTGAGAACCACTGCCTGAGAGGACAATGATAAACAGACATCACACTTGCATAACTCGTCTAGCAACACATCACAGGTTTGCACCGCATCTGGAATTTACAAGACTCGTCCAGCAACACACAGGGAATTAAAGATCACCCAACCACGGCTGGAACAATTTGCAAATAATCTATGATTAGGGACAGGAACCTTGTGACGACATTTCGCTCAGTTTTGAATCATTATCGAGTCACAACTGAGGCGATAAAAGGAGATGCCAGAAGACAGTAGCAATGGCGGTGGTAGAATTAGCATAAGTATTGGTAATAGTACTATTAGAAGCAATAGTGTGGCAATAATACTACTGAAAGAATTGGTAATAATGGTGGTGATAGTACATAACATGAAAAAAACAGAAGAGCACTGCAGGAGACCTACTGGCCCCAGCTGGGCAGGATATACAACAGAGCACTGAAAGCAAATCTCGTCACGGCTCTGTGACGGTCTTTACCCTTTCTGTCTGTGACCTGTGAACACCTGTGACCTGTGAAAAACGTGGTCTGTGAAGTGTGAACACCTGGCGTATGACTTGTGAGCAAGTGACCTGTGACTTGTGAACACCTGCTAATGACCTGTGAACACGTGGGCCTGACCTGTGAACACGTGTCCACGTACTGCTGACCTGTGGCCACGTGTCTACTGGGTGTCTAGATTGTCAGTCAACAATGTCTTCTCTCAGTCGAGAACAGCTGTGCTCAATTGATGACGGAGATGCAATATATGCAGCTGAAAAGCTCTTGATCCTAGGACTTGGAGTGCGATAACTTCTGAGGGAGGAAAAGTGCTATCCAGTGTTACCAAGTGCTACCTAATGCTTCCTAGTGCTACCTAGAGTTTCCTAGTGCTACCTAATGTTACTCAGTGCATCCAGAGTGGACCGCTGGGAGACGCACTCTTTTTTACAAGTTAGTTGTGCAAAGTATAGGGTGTATATTTCTAGACTGGGAGTCGAGGGGACGCTCAGTGGTCTGTCTTGCGTTTTTGACAGAGCTCTGGTAAGACAGCCAATTAGAAAGTGGACGGAACCAGCACACTTGCAGTTTTTAGACATAGGAGGATGTAGGTTGAGGGTGTGTTAGGGGAGGAAGTGATGTAGGTTAAGGGTGTGTTAGGGAAGGAAGTGATGTAGGTTGAGGGTGTGTTAGGGAAGGAAGTGATGTAGGTTGAGGGTGTGTTAGGGGAGGAAATGATGTAGGTTGAGGGTGTGTTAGGGGAGGAAGTGATGTAGGTTAAGGGTGTGTTAGGGAAGGAAGTGATGTAGGTTGAGGGTGTGTTAGGGAAGGAAGTGATGTAGGTTGAGGGTGTGTTAGGGAAGGAAGTGATGTAGGTTGAGGGTGTGTTAGGGGAGAAGTGATGTAGGTTAAGGGTGTGTTAGGGAAGGAAGTGATGTAGGTTAAGGGTGTGTTAGGGAAGGAAGTGATGTAGGTTGAGGGTGTGGGTGTGTTAGGGAAGGAAGTGATGTAGGTAGAGGGTGTGTTAGGGGAGGAAGTGATGTAGGTTGAGGGTGTGTTAGGGGAGGAAGTGATGTAGGTTAAGGGTGTGTTAGGGGAGGAAGTGATGTAGGTTGAGGGTGTGTTAGGGAAGGAAGTGATGTAGGTTAAGGGTGTGTTAGGGAAGGAAGTGATGTAGGTTAAGGGTGTGTTAGGGAAGGAAGTGATGTAGGTTGAGGGTGTGGGTGTGTTAGGGAAGGAAGTGATGTAGGTTGAGGGTGTGGGTGTGTTAGGGAAGGAAGTGATGTAGGTTGAGAGTGTGGGTGTGTTAGGGAAGGAAGTGATGTAGGTTGAGGGTGTGGGTGTGTTAGGGAAGGAAGTGATGTAGGTTGAGGGTGTGAGTGCGTTAGAGAAGGAAGTGATGTAGGTTGTGGGTGTATTAGGGAAGGAAGTGATGTAGGTTGTGGGTGTGTGTTAGGGAAGGAAGTGATGTAGGGTGTGGGTGTGTTAGAGAAGGAAATGATGTAGGTTGTGGGTGTGTTAGGGAAGGAAGTGATGTAGGTTGAGGATGTGTGTTAGGGAAGGAAGTGATGTAGGTTGTGGGTGTGTTAGGGAAGGAAGTGATGTAGGTTGAGGGTGTGTGTTAGGGAAGGAAGTGATGTAGGTTGAGGGTGTGGGTGTGTTAGGGAAGGAAGTGATGTAGGTTGAGGGTGTGGGTGTGTTAGGGAAGGAAGTGATGTAGGTTGAGGGTGTGAGTGCGTTAGAGAAGGAAGTGATGTAGGTTGTGGGTGTATTAGGGAAGGAAGTGATGTAGGTTGTGGGTGAGTTAGGGAAGGAAGTGATGTAGGTTGTGGGTGCGTTAGGGAAGGAAGTGATGTAGGTTGAGGGTGTGGGTTTTTAGGGAAGGAAGTGATGTAGGTTGAGGGTGTGGGTGTGTTAGGAAAGGATAGTGATGTAGGTTGGGGTGTGGGTGTGTTAGGAAAGGAAGTGATGTAGGTTGTGGGTGTGTTAGGGAAGGAAGTGATGTAGGTTGAGGGTGTGTGTGTGTGTTACGGAAGGAAGTGATGTAGGTTGTGGGTGTGTTAGGGAAGGAAGTGATGTAGGTTGAGGGTGTGGGTGTGTTAGGGATGGAAGTGATGTAGGTTGTGGGTGTGTTAGGGAAGGAAGTGATGTAGGTTGTGGGTGTGTTAGGGAAGGAAGTGATGTAGGTTGAGGGTGTGGGTGTGTTAGGGAAGGAAGTGATGTAGGTTGGGGTGGGGTGTGTTAGGGAAGGAAGTGATGTAGGTTGTGGGTGCGTTAGGGAAGGAAGTGATATAGGTTGTGGGTGTGTTAGGGAAGGAAGTGATGTAGGTTGTGGGTGTGGGTGTGTGTTAGGGGAGGAAGTGATGTAGGTTGAGGGTGTGTGTGTGTGTGTGTGTGTTAGGAAAGGAAGTGATGTAGGTTGAGGGTGTGTGTGTGTTAGGAAAGGAAGTGATGTAGGTTGTGGGTGTGTTAGGGAAGGAAGTGATGTAGGTTGAGGGTGTGTGTGGTGTGTGTGTGTGTGTTAGGAAAGGAAGTGATGTAGGTTGAGGGTGTCGGTGTGTTAGGGAAGGAAGACGATGTAGGTTGTGGGTGTGTTAGGGAAGGAAGTGATGTAGGTTGAGGGTGTGTGTGTGTGTGTGTGTGTGTGTTAGGAAAGGAAGTGATGTAGGTTGAGGGTGTGTGTGTGTTAGGAAAGGAAGTGATGTAGGTTGTGGGTGTGTTGGGAAGGAAGTGAGTAGGTTGAGGGTGTGTGTGTGTGTTAGGGGAGGAAGTGATGTAAGTTGAGGGTGTGGGTGTGTTAGGGAAGGAAGTGATGTAGGTTAAGGGTGTGGGTGGTTAGGGAAGGAAGTGATGTAGGTTAAGGGTGTGGGTGTGTTAGGGAAGGAAGTGATGTAGGTTGTGGGTGTGGGTGTGTTAGGGAAGGAGTCGATGTAGGTTGTGGGTGTGTTAGGGAGGAAGTGATGTAGGTTGAGGGTGTGTGTGTGTTAGGAAGGAAGTGATGTAGGTTGAGGGTGTGGGTGTGTTAGAGGAGTGTGAGTTGAGGGTTGGGTGTGTTAGGAGAAGTGTTGGTTAAGGGTTGGGGTGTTGTGGGAGGAAGTGTGTAGGTTAGGGTTGTGGGTGTGTTGGGAGGAGTGTGTAGGTGTGGGTTGGGTGTGTTAGGGAAGGAGTGATGAGGTTGTGGGTTGTTTGGTGGTTGTGGTGAGGGTGTGTTAGGGAAGGAAGTGTGTTGGTGAGGTGTGGGTGTGTTAGGGAAGGAAGTGTGAGGTTGTGGGTGTTTAGGAAGGAAGTGTGTAGGTTGGGTTGTGTGTGTGTGTGGTGGTGGTAGAAGAGTGATGTAGGTTGGGGTGTGGGTGTGTTAGGGAAGGAAGTCGATGTAGGTTGTGGTGTTTGTAGGGAAGGAAGTGATGTAGGTTGAGGGGTGTGTGGTGTGTGTGTGTGTGTTAGGAAAGGAGTGATGTAGGTTGGGTTGTGTGTGTGTTGGAAAGGAGTGATGTGGTTGTGGTGGTTAGGGAAGGAAGTGATGTAGGTTGAGGGTGTGTGTGTGTGTTAGGGAGGATAGTGTGTAGGTTGGGGTGTGGTGTGTTGGAGGAGATGTGGTTGTGGTGTGTTAGGAAGGAGTGATGTAGGTTGAGGGTGTGTGTGTGTTAGGAAAGGAAGTGATGTAGGTTGGGGTTGGGGTGTTTAGGGAAGGAGTGATGAGTTGAGGTGTGGGTGTGTTAGGGAGGAAGTGAGTAGGTTAGGTGTGGGTGTGTTGGAGGTGGATGTAGGTTAAGGGTGTGTGTGTTAGGAGGAAGGTGTGGTTTGGGTGTGGGTGTTGGAAGGAAGTGTGTAGGTTGTGGTGGTTAGGGAAGGAAGTGATGTAGGTTGAGGTGGTAGGTGTGTGGAGTGTGGTGGTGTGTGTGTGTTAGGAAAGGAAGTGATGTAGGTTGAGGGTGTGGGTGTGTTGGGAAGGAAGTGATGTAGGTTGAGGGTGTGAGTGGTTTGGAAGGAGTGATGTAGGTTGTGGGTGTGTTAGGGAAGGAAGTGATGTAAGTTGGGTGTGGGTGTGTTAGGAAGGAAGTGATGTAGGTTGGGGTGGGGTGTGTTAGGGAAGGAAGTGATTGTAGGTTGTGGTGTGTTAGGGAAGGAAGTGATGTAGTTGTGGTGTGTTAGGAAGGAAGTGATGTAGGAGGTTGTGGGTGTGTTAGGGAAGGAATGTGTATGTGAGGTGTGGGTGTGTTAGGGAAGGAAGTGATGTAGGTTGGTGGTGTGCGTTAGGAAGGAAGTGATGTAGGTTGGGGTGTGGTGTTAGGGAAGGAAGTGATGTAGGTTGTGGGTGTGGGTGTGTTAGGGAAGGAAGTGATGTAGGTTGAGGGTGTGGGTGGTTAGGGAAGGAAGTGATGTAGGTTGAGGGTGTGGGTGTGTTTAGGGAAGGAAGTGATGTAGGTTGTGGGTGTGTTAGGGAAGGAAGTGATGTAGTTGGGTGTGGGTGTGTTAGGGAAGGAAGTGATGTAGGTTGGGTGTGGTGTGTTAGGAAGGAAGTGA